TGTTGGATTACTGAGCCTGGCTCCCAGAGTGCCGCTTTTACTCCATCGCACTGAAAGTGTTTGAGGCAATGTTTCCAACTACATGCTGCAGTAAAGCCATGTAACACTCACAGCACGAGGTTAGAGTGGAAAGACAGAAACAATGCAGTTTTGTTTTGTTTGTTTTTTCTGTAGTGGATGTCTGTGTGTGTGTGTGTGATTGCAGAACATAGTTGTTTTTCTGGGCACAGACATATGAAGCTTAAATGCTCCCCTCTAAATTATTCCATGCAAACTTTTTACTTTTTCCCTTTTTTTTCCAACAATCCTGTTCCGTTTTTGTATTTTTGTATTTTGGGAAGTTAAAGTGAAGTGACACAGGACTTTCAGTCTACTTATCCTCAGACTGTCAGTTAGGAAGTTTGATGTTTTTATTTTTATAATGGGTTCGTTGAGAGATGGAGCACGGTTTCACATCACAATATAACTGCTAGTTTTTCATTTTTCATCCTCGTCTTTTGTTTGTATTCCACGCACAGTAAAAGTTAAAAACAGAAAACTAGAGCTGCATTATTAGTGTCCACCCCGCTCCTCCTGGAAAAAGGACCAAAAGTACAGGTTACCATGGCAGCGGTGGATCCAGGAGGAGTGATGTGTATGTTATAGCGTTAGAGCCTTCTAACACTCCAGCCATCGCTCAGAGCTGATGGAGAAACTAACATAAATGCGACTGTAGGAACTTTATTTATTTGTAGCAAACTTTTGATGTGTATTATTAGTCGCTCTAATTTGTTTACAGGGCATTTTGTGAAAAGTGCTTGTCAAATAAATCTTGAGGTTTTTTTCCAGTCTTGTGTTCTGTTTTGTTTGGTTTTCATCGTTTGCTCCTCTCAGCTTTCTTTGCATTAATTTATTTGTAAGGAGTATAAAGTATAGATATTTGTGTTAAAATTTAGAGAGGGGGGGAAAACTATTTAAGTACAGATAACTAAAAATTAAACTTAAGTACAGTATTTGTAATTTGCTTTTTCCCCCTCTGCTGACAGTTAAAAGCATTTCTTCCTTTATGGTTGTTTCTCTTCTGTTATGCTCTTCTCTTCTGCTAAATGCCAACATACCAAGGCCACACCTCTGCTCGTTCCGGCCAACTTTACAACCCAAATATAATATAACCCTGTTAAAATATAAAGATAAGATAACTCTTTATTGTCATTGTACAGTCATACGTAGTACAGTAGTACGATGAAATTGGAAAACTGTCCTACGTTGGCACTACATATAACACGATACGACACATCACAACACAACACAGTATATTTATAAATATAAATATTAGTATTGTTATTGTTTTAAACATTGTTACCTCTC